GTAATTTTCTAATTTCTCAGCATTTAAATTAGCTCATTCAGGTAGGATCCATCAAAGATTTTAGATTAAATTAAGACCTAAAACAAATCTTCCTTTCTGTTATAAACCTCTGTAATTACTTTAAAATTTTGAAAATTGTGTTATGGACTATTATCCTTTTTAATTAATTCCAACATCTCCTTCATTTCTTTATTCAACTTTCCACAAAAAGCCTCCGTTTCTTAGTTCCAATAATTCTTTGTCATTTCCAACCTCTTCAAAATGGAATTTTTCTGATCATTCCAATCATCTAATGGTTTTCCAGTAATAATTTAGACTAACTTTTCTAATTCTGTATTTGACAATTCCAGAGGATTAACATTATTGAAATTCTTAAAACAATTCTCTTCCCTTTCTAACTAATCATATATCAGTTTAATTGAATTCTCCAACTCTTCCCAAATTTATTTTAACTTACTCTAAGTTAAAGCCAACATTTATTTAAAATTCAATCTTTAAGTTGTTATTTAAGATGTTTCATTGAGCAGAGATTCTTTTAATTTCTTTAAAACCTTTTGTTGAAATATCTTTGTTGGAACAGTATGATTTTTGAAATTCTCTCCATGTTCATATTGGCATTCAACACACAATCTCCTTTAAAATTAACACTAATGAGGTGCAGTACACACAAGTAATACTGAACTATCAATATGATAAGTACAATTCATTCTCTTTTAAAAATAATATTGAATTTCTATTACTTTATTTCAAAATTTATATTAATCAAATAGTAACTGTTAAATTTTTGACAATTATGGATAGTGAATAAAAATATAAAACAAATTATTCTTAATTTTAAAGAAGCCTTACATTTGAATCCCCAACCCAAATTCTCCTCAATTCCTACTCAATACTTGAATTTTTAATTTGTTTTTTATTTCCAAACGATATTAATAACCAGTCCATATAGATTATAAACACCCTCAAAATTTTAGAGACTCCCCCAACAACTATTTTTTTCTACACCCCCTAAATATTTTGACTAACCCCCAGATATGAAAGAGGTAGGTGTGAGTGTATGAGGTAACCTGTTGTTAATTTTCATTATTATCCTGTTATCCCTTTTCATTATTATCCTATAATAACTCTTCATTATTATCAATGCTATCCTGTTATTCCTTTTCATTATTATCATAATTATCCTGTTATTCCTTTTCTTTACTATCCTATTATTCCTTTTCATGATTATCCTGTTATTCCTTTTCATTATTAACATTATTATCATTATTGTCCAATTATTCCTTTTTATTTTGTTATTCTTTTTCATTTTTATCATGTTTTATATACTTTTTCATTTGCCAATTATACATTTGAATCAGATAATTACTTCTGTAAAACTCATAAAGTATATTTGGGAAATTTTTGAGAAAATTAATCTCAAATTAATTATCTCAGAGGCTTTCCATCATTTTAGGCAACACTTAAACTATTATTTCCATCATATATGGAGTTTCTACCAAAATACATAAATTGATTTGCCTCATCATATTTTCAACCCTTTCAACACTCCACAGTTTTTATAATTTTATCATTAGAGTTCTTAAAGCTCCTTGATTTGAAATTTATGTTTACCAATCATATATTTCAAAAATCAACATTTTAATACTGTGCATTGTGAATTTTTTTAAGTATAACATTATTTGATCAGGATTAAATTTTTAAAGCTGAATTTCCTTTAAATTTTTCCTTATTACCAGGAGCAAACCAAAAGGCATAATTACAACTTGTAAAAATTTCACTTCTTGTGGTAAAAATGACAAGCGGGTCTGACCAATTTTATTTGACTTTGTTATTCATATATAAATTTTTCAAAATATTCTCTAGCTTCATTTCATCATAGCTATCCATTATCAATAAAAATCTGAATTCTTTCTTCTCTAAAATCTCTTTGCATTCTTTTAATTAAAGTTCGTCAAAACCATACTCATTTTAACGAAGTGTCTCTTCAACAGCTTGAAAAACTGGGTTTTTTAATTGAAGGTAAAGAGATATAAACAGGTATAAGCACTTGATTTCTAATTTTTTAATTTTTATTATGTAATTTCCATATAAATTCTTCTATTTTCTTTGCCGAAGTACTTTTGCCAGATCCTGCTTAAACATGTATTAACAAGACCGTTTTTTTTTCCTCATTTAACTCCTGTAATAAAAATTCATTCACTTCCCCTCCACTATCGTTTAAATCCTTCTAAAATTCATCAAAATACTTTACTCCTCCTTCCCTTTCTCTAAGGTTTTTAAGGGGACATAAATGGTCTTAACGTTTTTGTATGCTGCTTCTTTCAATACATTCCATTTTCTAATTTCAAATAGTTGCTCAACAGATTTTCCTCTCAAAAATTTAATATCATTGCCAATGTTTTTGAGTTATTCCTTCATTTCATTAATTTTCCCCTCCACTCTGATTAAACCTTTTCGGATATGATGAACAAAATCAGTTATCAATCTAAAGTTATTGACCCATTTCACTGATATTTTCAATTTATTGATCTAATTGCTTATGTGGTCTCATCAAGTTCTTTCAGATATATATCTCGCTTATTAAGATTAGCCTCATGAGAAATTTATTCTTACAATTCATCAATTCTGCTCAACATTTCCTACATTTTCCCTGCAATTCTATCATGTTAAGACTACCAATCTTTTGACAAAATCTGCGTTTACAGACTTACCAATTTTTAATTTTTTAAAAGGTTTCGAACTCTTATATCTTTTTCTTGAACTCACAATTAGATTAGAGCTTTCTAACAAAAAGAAGCAAGATTATCTGAAAAACAATTGGATGAAATCTAAATTATAGTAAAAACTAGACCCTATTTAATTTTCCATTCTTCTTTATTTGTAAAGTGGAACCTCTAAACTAAATTATCTAATAAACTGAATTATTCTTTTGATTCTTCCACATAATCTATTTCACTGCCATCCTCTAAGTATATTTATTTTATTTATTGAATTAGAAAATCTTAATCAACTTGGATGTTTGAAATACTTCCTTCTTAATCTAATTTTTCTTGTAAATAAAATTCTAAGCAATTAAGAAAATCAAAGAGTATTTTCATTATCATTAACCCTTTTAAAAATTTTGGTTTCCAAACTTTCTAAATACAAATTAAAAATTTCATTATCCTTCTAATCTAAATTAATATATGAAAATTTTAATTATTCAAACTTTTGAATAAATCAGTTATACGATTTGATTCACAATGTGGATAATCAGAAGACCAGATGCATATTGATCATTAGTTTCTCCATCGATGAAAAAATTTGTTATATCTCTAAAATGGAACTACTTATGAATTCCAATTAAAATACCTCCAGGTTGTCCTTCTCTTTTTTTATCACCTTCATATTTATATTTAACTGTGTCTTATTACGATAAGGACACACCTGGTTGAAGATAAAACCTTACAATCTTACATTTAATTTAATTATAGATTTGAAGGTCAAGCTGAACATCTTAATGACTTTTACAAAATAGTATTAGCTAAGGATGACTAATAAATAGAGATAGGTATCATAATACTCTGAATTATCATGTATTTTTATATATATAAAAGTTTTTATCATCTTTTAAACTAGATATTGAGTATTATCATAAATTTAATATTTTAAGTGAATTAGATTTATCTACTGAAAAAATAAATATTTCATTATACAAATTTTTCATAATTTGAAAAATTTGCTAATTGAGAATTATGAATTTTAATAACGGGTTTATATCTTATTAAGATATCTATGTCAAGGTGGAACGTGTAGCTTATGAGGCTGATTGAAAATAATTCATACACTTGTAAAGTTTGTTATTGAATGTATGAATAATGGAAATTTAGTAAGTTTCTATGAAATGAAGTAACAATTAATTTATTTTTCCATAATAATGAAAATTTGTAATTCCTATCTAATACATAAAGATTAAAAGAAGTATTAATTTAAAAAATACTGATAGATGAATTGAGTAAGAAAGGAGGAAATTAAAAAAAAGAATGTGATAAAGTTAGACTAGTATTGGTCAATGGTGATGAAATTTTATTATTGGAAAGATTATTAAATAAAATAAATTTTTAGATATCTAAGCCTCCTTTACAAGTAATTTTTTATTAAATAAATATCATTATTTAAATTAAAAAAAATGTTACAGAATGATGGTGAACCAGAATCCCCTATGCAACCTCTTCCTGATCAAACTTCTCCATAAGAGATTACTAAGATTGAACTACCTGATTAGTCATCACCTCGTCAGCCAGAATCCCCAAAAATGGATAGGGGATCTCCTGATCATACGAGTCAAATCTCAGAAGACTAAGAGGAAGCCGTTCCAGAAGAAGAATGGTAGAAAACAAAGGAGGAATGGTTGGCTTAAGGAAAAACAGAGGATCCCCCTAGATTTAGAATACATCGATAGGCAGCCAGAAGAAAATCGTTATTGAAACTTGCCTCAGCTGGTGCTAATGGTAAAAGTTAAATAATATTTAGATTACGGAGCTATTTACGTGAGAAAATAAGTGTTAGAACACTTGGACTCCTATGAAGTTGAACAATGGTAGTGGAAGAATGATCCTCATGATATTTTATCTATTAATTTTATGTGTAAGCATGGATAAGCGAATTTGTTTGCTTGGATGACAGAATAAGGAATTTAAATGAGTGAGACAGATCCACCTAGATTAGAACCTGATGCATTTGATCCCGATTTTGTGTATTTTTTGAAACTGCCACACCCATAAGATGTGATAATAAGTGAGGAAAATGTTGCTGAGTATGTCAGCGATGGTGTTATCAATATTAATTACTTGAAGACATTATTGAAATAAATGAATGCTTAATTCATACCATAATTTATTTAGGACTCCTCTTGGCCTGAAAATGTAAAAAAAGAGTTCTTGGCTCAATTACATAAATTCATGGCAACTCTTACTGAGTATTCCTTCAGTCAAGAAGGCATTACTGAGTTGTATATTCCAAATGAAGACTTGAATAATATTGAGTAAGCTTCTCATGACAAAGACTTGTTGTAAAGATTAGAGGCAATCTTATTACATTGGTAGAGATAAATCAAAGACATTGTGAATAATTAAGAATTGGCTATTGAGAATGAGAATGCAGGTCCACTTGATGAGATCTCTTATTGGAGATAAAGAAAAAATAATTTATCGCACATTCATGAATAATTGGAGAAACCAGAGTTGAAAAGAATCATCCAAATATTGAGTGATAGTCAATATGTCTAGAGCTTCAAGGATGTTACTGAGAATATCAAATTGGGATCCAGTTAAGCAGAGGACAACTTAGAAAATCTAAAGATTCTGTATGAACCTTGCAAATAGTTGGAGACAGCTACACCCAAGGAGATCCCAGAATTACTCCCGAATTTGTTATTCAGAGTGAGATATATCTGGGAGAAGTCTAGATACTTTAATACTCCAGAGAGGATTCAAGGATTGATCCATAAAATTTCAAATGAGATTATTAAGAGATGCAAGTCTAGTATCAATATCAATGACATGTTGGATGGTGATGTGGAGAAATGCATTTAAGATTTGAATGATTCAATTGAGTGTGGAGAACAATGGAAGAAGATTTACTAAAGAATGTCAGTTGCAATTGAGAAGATGTCATCATTGACTAAAGGACCTAAATGGGATTTCAATAATTCTATATTTGCTTAAGTTGATGCCTTCATCTCTCGTTGCAAGGAGTTATTGGAAATATGTGAAGGATAATTGCAATTTGCCAGAAAAGGAGCTGGTAGTCACATTCCACAATTTGGAGGCAGCAAAGGTCAAGAGATTGAAGATAATCTTGAATAAATAAAGGATAGTTTTGCTAAGCATTTGAAACCAATCAGAGATATTCGTAAAACTGATAAGGATAAGATATTAGATGTGAAAGCCTCTAAGTGGCATGATGTCTTTAATGCATTTCGTAATGGAGTAAAGGATTTGGATGTTATGTACACCAATATTATTAATAATGCTTTTGAGAGTATGACAACAGTTCAATAAGGAGTTGAATTATTGGAAGCTTTTGATTAATTGGCTAAAAGACAATCGATCAAGAGGGTAGTTCAAAATAAGGCTATAGTAGTCTTAGAATTATTCATCTAAGAAATTGATGCAACAAAACATGAATTCGATAATATTAAGAAACTATAGTATTACCCTTTACAACATGGCTCATTTTCTGGACAGGCAATTTGGGTTAATTCATTGAGTCATAGAATCATGAGAATGAGATATTGGATTGATTAGATGTACTTCATTGATGACTCGATTAAGAGAACTGCAATTGAGAAATTTGAATAGTTGTCATCGAATTTGAAACAGTTTATCATAGAATCCAGGCTGAAGGAATGGAAAGAAGATTGTAAAGATCTGGAAGACATAGTTTTGACTACCAGATTAGACAAGTAGGTATTATTGAGAACAGATGAGAAACATCCAGATTTCTAATATAAGAAGGAGTCTTTGAGACCTAAGATTGGCCATTTAGAAAGCAATTTCGATAGACAACTGTTAAAATTGTTGCATGAGACTTCAGCTTGGTAGAAATTGATAGCTGTTGGTGTTGTGATTCCAAGTTATGCTAATGATTTTACTTAGAATCACAAGGAGAGCTTGAGAGTGCTCAGAGAGTTGGTGATGTTAGTTGTCAGAGAATACAACAACATTATTGACTATATGACAGAAACTGAGAAGAAATTGTTTGCTCAACATTTGGAGACTGTCAATAAGGTAATATAACCATTGGCATCCCGATTGAGATGGAGTGCAAAGACAATCATTGATAGTTAAGTTAGGGATTGTCGTAGAGCTTGTTAAGAGATGTTCTTGAAATTGAAGATGTTTAAGACCAATATGGACAAGATAGATGGTAAATGCAATGAGATTGCCAATAAATTGTTGATAAAGATAGATCGTAAGAAGCAATATGATCACAAGTCCTTCGAGGAGGAATAAGAGAAACATAGAAGAGATATGTATTAGAAGTTGAAATAAATATTTGATGAAATAAGGAAGATATTGTCTGAGACTTATGATCCATTTCTATTTGATAGGATTGAGGTCTAAACAGTTTGGTTGAAGTAGGTGAAGTCTATTGATTACAAGATCAAGGAGAGTTATGAGAAGGCAGTAAAGAATTCATTGATTGATTTATAAAAAGTAATTGGTTCAGAGGATGGTAAGATCACTCCAGTGCCCATTTTCAAATTATCAGTGGAATTGGAGAATCAATAACAGGAGTATCGACCATCAACAAACTATTTGAAACAGATGGTCTCTTAAACATGTGAATATATGAGAGAAATCATGAAAGATTTTAAGAGCATGGATGAAGTCATGAAGGAGGAGAGAAAGAAGAAATTAGATGAAGCAATCTTATTAAATTCTAAAGACTCCAAGAATCCGTAGGCTTAAAATATTAGAAGAATGAGTGAAATATCTTAAGTTTAATAATAGGAGTAGGAGACTTAGATATCAGTTAGGAGTCTAGATAACGAACAGAATATCAAGATCAAGAACGATAGTGATGGTTTGATTCAGAAAATCAATAGTAAATTGAGCAAGACTTGTGATGCTTTGAATTCAGTAGATGCTCATGGTTAATGGAAACGTTACGATTGGTATTGGCAATAGGCAAATTAGAAGGAGAAATTTATTAAGGACATGATCAACAGAAATGATCCAATTACTAATATCAAAACTCAATTGGAAACCTTTGATTTACATTAAGGAGAAATCCAGCAATTAGAAACAACAAAAACCCAAGATTGCATCATCTTGGATAACACTTCAATTAAATCTACTTTGATTGATATTATGATCTCTTGGTAGAATGCTTTCTTGAATGCAACTTAGGATAAAGCATTGCAAGATTTGAATTAATTATACTCACTATTCCAGACCTCAGAAACAAATTTGGACATTGTTCCTTAAGATTTGTAACAATTAAAGAAGAGTAGTGATCTTTGGAATAAGTTGAATGAGGATAGACCATCCATTGAGGCTAAATTGGGTCCATTGGAAGATAAGTTTAAGTTGTTGGAGGATTATTCAATACAATTGAAAGATGATGATATCACAAGAAAGAACAATTTAAGAAACACTTGGGCTAATTTCAATGTGATGTTGGATAGAATCTAAGAGAGAAACCGTAAAGTACACAACAATTTGTACTTGGAAACTCAGAAGAATTTGGATGAATTCATCAAGGAAACTGGAGATTACAAGATTGTATTTTAGAGTAATGCTCCATATCAAGCAACCAATATGCCTCATGAAAAGGCATTATTAAATTTAAATGAATATTCTGAATAAGTTAAGCAATATCGTAAGAAAGAGGAATCAATGAAATTTGGTTTCGATTTGTTTAAATTCAACTACGTTCCATCTCCAGATTTGGAATTCATGGAGAAGGAGATTGCACAATTATCCTACATTTGGCACACCAAGGAAGAATGGGATTAATTTATTAAGGATATTGGAAGTACAGCTTTCAGAGATGTCAATTGTGACAATTTGGACGAAATTGGTGATGATTATTTGAGGAAGTTGAAGGCTTTACCAAGAGAATAGTAGAAGTGGGAAATTGTTAATCACATGAAACAAATTATTGATTAATTCAAACAAACACTTCCTCTGATCATCATGTTGAGAGAACAATACATGAGAGACAGACATTGGGATAAAATGAGATAGCATCTAGGAACCAACATTGAACCAGATAGCAAAGACTTCAACATGGCTGAAATATTCAAATTGAATCTATTATCCTATGGTGAAGCTGTTAAGGATGTGTGTGAAGTTGCTAAGGAAGAATTCAAAATTGAAAATGCTTTGGATAAGATTGATTAGAGATGGGCTAAACTTGAATTGGAAATGGACACTTTCAAGAAGACCTACAAAATCAAGAAGACTGAAGAGATTTTCACTATTTTGGAAGATCATATGGCTGTTTTGAGTGCTCAAAAAACAACTGCCTTTTATGATTCATTCAAACCCACTATTGAAAGATGGGAGAATTGCTTATAACAAATCTCAGAGACCTTGGAAATGTTATCTATAGTTTAAAGATAATGGATTTATTTGGAAGCCATTTTTGCCACTCAAGAGAAGGAATCTGAAAAACAATTGATGGGAGATATCAATAAGTTTGCAGCAATCAATTCTCAATTATCAGGACACATGAATCGTATCTATGAAGATAAGAATGTCAAAAGGTCATTGTCATATGAGGGTTTCTATTAAGAATTATGTACAATGAATTAGAAATTGGACGAGAGTCAAAAGATCTTGTATTAATTATTGGAGAAATAACGTAAGGATTTCCCCAGATTCTATTTCTTGTCCAACGATGACTTGTTTGAACTTTTGGGAAACTCCAAAGACGTGTTCAAAGTCAATAAGCACATCAAGAAATGTTTCGAAGGTATCAAGAAATTCGATATCCTCACCCAATAATACTAGACTGGAAGAGCCAAATAAGATGTCTATGAAGTTTAAGCCATGGTAGCCCCAGATGGAGAAGTTGTTAAATTCACTACCAAAGTCCTTTGCGATTCTCAATTAGAGAAATGGCTTGGTTAGGCTGAGAAGACCATGAGAGATGTACTCAAGAAGGAATTTATTCTCTACAATGTAGAGTATAAAGAAGAAGGAAGGAATGCGTTGGGTTGATAAATGGGTCAAGGAACATCCTGGATAATTGTTAATTACTGCCAGTCAATTGACATGGTCAGGTGATTGTGCCAATGTGTTAAATTAGATCTACAATTCTGAAAGACCAGAGAAAAATAGAGGCTGGAAGGCTATCAAAGATGAGAAACAATCATTCATCTTGGAATTGACTAAATTGATTCGTAAACCCAGTAATGAGGTCGATAGATTGAAATTGGTTGCTTTAATTACTATTGAGGTACACCAGAAGGAAATTATTGATCATCTCACAAAGAATTTGTCAATCTCCACATTCTTTTGAATGGTTGAAGTAATTAAGATTTACAGGCACAGCAGTTAATGATATATTTGAGTGTAAGGTTGAATAAGCTAATAGCAGTTTTGCTTATGGTTATGAATATTAAGGTAACAATGGTAGATTGGTTGTAACTGCTTTGACAGATAGATGCTACATGACTTTGACAACAGCTATGCATTTGAAAAAAGGAGGTGCTCCTTAAGGACCTGCTGGTACTGGTAAAACAGAAACAGTTAAGGATTTGGGCAAGAATATGGCTAAATTTGTATTAGTTTTCAATTGTTCAGAAGGATTGGATTACAAGAGTATTGGTAGAATGTTCAGTGGATTAGTGCAAGTAGGTGGTTGGGGTTGTTTCGATGAATTCAATCGTATTGAAGTGGAAGTGTTATCAGTTGTTGCATAACAAGTGAGTCAAATAATGAATGCATTGAAAGAATACGAAAAGAATAAGGAGAAGTCATCCTTCCAATTGGATTCAGATGTGATACCCATCAATGATCAATTTGCTATATTCATCACAATGAATCCTGGTTATGCTGGTAGATCAGAACTTCCAGACAACTTGAAGTCTTTATTCAGACCAATTTCTATGATGGTTCCTGAGAATGAAATCATTTGTGAAATCATGCTTACATCAGAAGGATTCAAGACTGGACATGCTCTCTCCACCAAGATGGTTACACTCTATAGATTGATGATCCAACAATTGTCTAAACAAGATCATTATGATTTCGGTCTAAGAGCCATCAAGTCTGTTCTCACCTGTGCTGGTTAAATCAGAAGAGATAAATCCAATGAAATCCAGAAAGTCAAGCAAGATGAGAATGCTAGAGAGAATTAGAAGGAAAGTGAGATGGACGAAGCAAATCAAGAGACCTAGATTCTAATGAGGGCCATTAGAGATATGAACATTCCAAAATTTGTCTCTGAAGATGTCCCATTGTTTAATGCTCTTTTCAACGATCTATTTCCAAATGTTGACTTGTAAGAGTAAATAAATGAAACTTTGTTCAATGAAATTGAAACCCAGATGAGAAATCTCAAATTGCAAACAAGAGTAGAACACATCAACAAAATCATCTAATTGTATGATTCAAAGAATACACGTCATGGTAATATGCTTGTAGGTCAATCATTGGCAGGCAAGACTACATGTTGGAAAGTATTGAAGAATTGTTTAAATTCATTGAATGAAAGAGAACCCAACAAGTATCCTAAGGTGAAGATTGAAGTGTTGAATCCAAAGGCTGTTACCATCAATGAATTGTTTGGTTATGTAAATTCTACTATGGAGTGGAATGATGGCGTGTTATCATCCATGATGGCTCGATTGTGCAAAGATGAAACACCAGATCAAAAATGGATGATTCTGGATGGACCAGTCGATACACTTTGGATTGAATCTATGAATACAGTGCTAGATGACAATAAAGTGTTGACCCTACTGAATGGTGATAGAATCTCATTACCTCCATAAATGGGATTGATTTTTGAAGTGGAGAATCTGGCAGTCGCCTCCCCAGCCACAGTGTCAAGAGCAGGTATGGTTTATTTGGACATAAATGATCTCGGATGGAGACCCTACATTGAGAGTTGGGTTGAGAAATTGACAGATCCTTTGGTTTAAGAAACTATCTTTGAATTCATAGAGAGATGGATTCCAAAACTCTTCAAACAAAGAAAGTGGTGCAAGGAAATCATACCATGCAGTGAAACCAATGTCATTATCTCATTCTGTAATTTGATGGATTGCTTCTTTAAGAGTGAAAAGCAATTGTCAATGGACATTCAAAACAAGAGTGATGTTTATTGGACACTTCTTGAAAAGTGGTTTACATTTGGATTGGTGTGGAGCATAGGAGCCACAGTAGATGAAGATGGTCGTCGTATTATTGACTAATAGATGCGTGATATTGATTTGATTTTCCCCAGTCAAAATACTGTCTATGATTTCTTTGTAAACAGTGATAAAAATGAATGGGCTTCATGGGATGAAAAGTTGGGTACTGGTCAATGGAAACCTGAAAATAATAGTCCATATCACAAAATGCTTGTACCTACAACTGATCAGGTCAGAAACAAGAACATCATCACTAGATTACTTAGTAACAAAAATGCTGTGTTGGCTGTAGGATTGACAGGTACTGGAAAGACTGTTTTATTGAATGGAGTTCTCCTTTAGATGTTTGAGTACACTACTATGAACATTGTGTTTTCAGCACAGACTTCCTCATAAAAGACTCAAGAAATGATTGAAAGTAAATTGGTAAAGAGATCTAAAAATAAGATGATTCCTGATGGCAAGAAAATGATCATATTTATTGATGATCTCAATATGCCCAGAAAGGACATTTATGGAAGTTAACCACCTCTTGAACTTATTCGTTAATGGATGGATTATGAAGGATGGTTTGATCGTACAAACAGAGAGCTATTCAAATTCATTTTAGATATTCAATTCGTATCAGCTATGGGACCTCCAGGTGGTGGTAGAGCAGAAATCTCTACTAGAATTCAAAACAAATTCCATGTCATCAATTTTGTTGTGCTCTCAGATCAACAAGTCAAGAGAATCTATTAATCCATTTTGGCTTATAAATTTTAAGAATTTGAGGATGAAAATCAAATTACTCATTGAACCCATTGGCTAAGCCACATACAACTTATTCTAGATGGTCACAAATAACTTTTTGCCTACTCCTGCCAAATCTCATTATGTCTTCAATATGAGAGACATCTCCAAAGTCATTCAAGGAGTCTACTAATTAGACAGATTGTATTGTGATAACAAAATGACTGTACTTAGATTGTGGGCGCATGAATGTTTAAGAGTATTCCATGATAGACTCATTAGTGTTGAGGACAGATAATTATGCAAATAATTGATCAACGATCAATTGGTCTCATGTCTCTAAACCACCATCAAAGAGTGTACTAATGAAAATGAAGATGACACAGTCTTTGCCAATTTCATGGAGGAAAGTGGAGGCAAATACATTGAAGTGACATATAATGACAGAGAGAATTTGAAGAAATTCTTAGAGGAGAAATTGGTCTAATTCAACACTGAAAATAAGTCTAAGGCCATGAACATAGTTCTCTTTTAAGAAGCAGTCCATTACATTTGTAAGATCAATCGTATCATTAATTTGGGCAAAGGACACGGAATGCTTGTTGGAGAAGGTGGTGCTGGTAGACACTCACTCACAAAATTAGCCACTCATATTGCTGAATACAAGAGTTGGTAGATTGAAGTCAGTAAGAATTATAGAATGAAAGAGTTCAGAGAAGACATCAAAAAATGGTGTGAAGAGGCAGGATTTAAGGGAGTCTCTGGAACCTTCATCTTTAGTGACAATCAAATTGCTAATGAGGGATTCATTGAAGATATCAATAACATTCTCTCTGTGGGTGAGGTACCAAATCTATTCAGTCAAAAGGAAGACTATCCCTAGATCAAAGATAGAGTCAGAAAGCATTACAGAGAAGAAAACAAATTAGACAAGGATGCTAAAATCCAAGATGAAGACCCTCATCGAATATTTCTTCACTAGAATTCAAAACAATTTCCATCTTATGATTTTGATGAGTAAGACTGGAGAGAATCTAAGAAACTATTGTCGTATGTATCCAGGTTTGGTTAATAATACCACTATGATTTGGTTTATGCCATGGCCAGAATAGGCTTTGGTTGAAGTGGCCAACAGATACTTGTTACAATTAAAGTTGGACGATGAATTAACTGCTAACATTTGCCAAGTTCTTTGGAACTGCTCACACAAAAGTGCTTTCCTTGAGTAATAGAAATGTTCCAAGAATTAAAAAGAATCTACTATGTGACACCCACCCAAATTATATTGAATTGGTCAAAGGGTATAATGATTTATTGGAGAAGAAATAAAATGAAATTGGTGGTGAAGTTCGCAAACTAACTTTGGGATTGTAGAAATTAGATGATGCAGCAGCAAACAGTGAAGAATTGCAAAAACAATTATCCATTTATCAAATTGAATTGGCAAAGAAGAGTAAGGATTGTGAAGAGTTGATGATCAAAATAGAGAGTGAGTCAAGAGATGCAAATGAGAAATAAGTAGAAGTGGAAACCAGATCTGCTCAAGTGGAAAAGGAAAAGGCTGAAGTGGAGACTCTGGCAGAAGAAGCACAAAAGGATTTAGAAAAAGCAGAACCTGCATTGAGAGCAGCTGAACAAGGATTGGAAGTAATTAGATAAATAACAATTGGCTGAAGTTAGAGCTTACAGTAAACCTCCTAATGGTGTGGATAATGTCTTATAGGCTGTCATGATTATCATGGGTAAGGAGGCAACTTGGGCAAGTGCCAAGAAGGAAATGACTGCTCCTGATTTCTTGTAGCAATTGAAGAAAGTCGACAAGGATCACATCATGAATAAGACTCTAGTTAGAATTGAGAAAATCACAAGTGATCCTGAAATGCTTCCCTCCAAGATTGATGCCATTTCAGTTGCTTCTGGTACTCTTTGGAGATGGGTCTTGTCATTGGAAATGTATGCCAAAGCATTTAAGGACATTGAACCCAAGAGAAACAAGGTCAAGTATTTGAAAGAGAAATTGAAGAAGAGTGAAGATGAATTCCAATAATTGCAGGAGAACTTCTAGATTTTGAAGTAGAGTATTGAAAAATTGAAGACCGATTTGTAGAGAGCAAAGGATGATATGGAAATGTATACCAGAGAAACTTCAGTGTTGGTTAACAAATTGGAGAGAGCAGAAAAGTTGATATCAGGATTGGCAAGCACCAAAGAAGGTTGGGCTATAAGGAGAAAGGAATTGTAAGGAAAACTAGAAGTCTTGGTTGGAGATGCCTTAATGACAGCTGCATTCTTGAGTTATGCAGGTCCATTCCCATCTGAATATAGACAACAATTTGTTGCTGAATAGTTAATTGGATAAGTCAGATACTTAAAGATCCCATACTCTAAAGATTGGAATTTCCCTGATTTTCTAGTTAAACCAGTTTAGTTCTTATAATGGAGTCAATAAGGATTGCCAGATGATCAATTTTCTAAAGAAAATGGTGTTCTAGTCACTTAAGGAAGAAGATGGCCATTGATGATTGATCCACAAGTCTAAGCCAACAATTGGATTAAAAATATGGAAAGAGCCATCAATAAGAATAATCTTAAAGAGCTAGATCCATAGAATGAAAAGATGATGAGCATAATTGAAACAGCTATTGCAAATGGATAAATTGTGATCTTAGAAAACATGGGAGAAGATTTGGATCCTTCTTTGGAACCAGTCTTGAATAAATAATTGAGAACAGTCAATAATAAGTTAATGATGTACATGGGAGAAAAAGAAATCTTGTACAATCCTAATTTCAGATTCTACATGACTACTAAATTGGCTAATCCAAAGTATAAGGCTGAAACATAAACAAGAGTCACTTTAGTTAATTTCACAGTGAAATAAAAAGGTCTGGAAGAATAATTGATTTCAGTTGTCATTCAAATTATGGAAGCCTAATTAGAAAAGAGTAAGAATGATTTGGTCAATAAGAAATCTTAAAATGAGATAACTTTACGTAAGTTGGATGATGATATTTTGAAGATGCTCTAGGAAATCAAAGGAAGTTTGATTGATGATGAAAATCTTATTGTCACCTTAGACAAATCTAAGGAAACTGAGGAAGAGGTCAAGAAGCAAATCGAAACCTCAGCTGTTTCAATGAAGAAAACCTTTGCAGCAAGAGAAAACTATCGTTCATTAGCCAGAATTGCATCCAAATTATTCTTTGTTTTAAATGATTTTTCACTTATTGATCACATGTATCAATTTGCCTTGTCCAATTACATTGAGTAATTTGGTGAAAATATCAATACATATCAAAGCAGAGGAGCATCCATAAATGACTCTTTGTAAGAGAAATTATCAGATATTGCAGCTAGACATTCTGAAGAGATATTCAAAACTGCATGCCGAGGATTATTCGAGAAAGATAAACTCTTGCTGGCCATTTAAATGGCTGTGAACATCACAAGCGAATTGAAGAGTTAGATTACAATTGATTTAGAGGAATACAACTTCTTCTTGAGAGGTGGAGATCCAAATGCAGATAGAAAGAATCAACCTCACAATCCAATTTCAGATTGGGTCACTGAATAATAATGGCAAGCCATTTGTGATTTGGATAAATTACCAAACTTTACTGGTATCATCAATGCTTTCACTCACAATGGTAAAGAATGGAAGAAGTGGTATTTGAGTCCAACACCAGAATCAGACGCATTACCAGGCGAATGGGATCAAAAATGTGATAGTCTTAAGAAGATGATCTTACTTAAAATAATCAGACCTGACAGAGTTCTTTTGGCAGCATAAGCATTTGTTAATGCAACCATGGGACAATTCTATACCTAGCCACCTGCAACTACTTATGATTCGATTTACAATGACACCACCAAAAATAAGCCTGTGATATTCATCTTGTCTCCAGGTGTTGATCCCT